GTTGACCAGGATGGTCTTGATCTCTTGACCTCGTGATCCACCCGCCTCGGCCTCCCAAAGTGCTGGGATTACAGGCGTGAGCCACCCCGCCCAGCCGAGTGCCGTCTTTTTATGGCATGTGATAACTAAATGATCTTGAGCAAGCTATTTAATTTCTTGGTGTGTCAGCTGCCTCCTTTACTGAAAGTGGAGGTAAGAACTCCATCTCATAAGGCTGTTGAAGATTAAATGCAATTAATATGTATAACTGCTCAGCACATGGCTTGAGGGGAAGGGGTACTCAATTTTAGCTACAGTGTTACAGTCAACTTTAGCTATAAGCTTCTTATTAAAACGGGCAGAACCTGAAGGGAAAATAAGTGATTAAAATAATCATTTAAGATTCCCCATTCATAACTCTCTGTAAAGAACTCTTATATTAAAGCCCAGATGCTGATGAATACAATACATCACCAAAAATCTACGAATTTATCAACTTGCTATACAGCTAATGATGACAAGGCGTGAGTCTCGTAAGAAATGCCTTCTCTCACCTGACTGGTTTTTGCTGTTCTGCACCTCTCCGTTATTTTGTGGCTGTTGATTTGTTAAAGCACTGCTTTCTGACTGGCTGTTTAACACTTTAACAGCAGATCCCAGGTTTGCTGCTATGACAGGAAAATGCTGACCCCTCTTTAGAAGCTGTTTGTGTTCCTGGTGGCGAAATCGTGGAGGTACTTCACGAGGATACCGAGGCAAGGCCTGTGGCTGCTGCTGTGGCTGCTGCGGCTGTGGCTGCTGCTGCTGCGGCTGCTGCTGCTGCTGTTGCTGCTGCTGCTGCTGCTGCTGTGGCTGCTGATTGTTGGCTGTAGCTCGCTTGGCATTATTATTAGTGCTGGTTGCTGTGGAAGTGCCGTTATTAGAGTTGGCAGGCTGAGGCTGGCTTACACTGGGCTTTATCTGTTCTGGCACTAATCCCAACAAAAGAAAAGGGGTGGAAAAGATTAGCCAGTAAAGTGTACCTCCAAAGTAAGCCATCTAAATTCAAAGGCGCTAAAAAAAAAAAAAATCCTAAAAAAACAGAAGCTTTCTGTGAGCAGGGATATCCTTATTTACAGGCTCAAATTTTGTTAGGAGATATCACTGCCAAGAGTCAAATTCACTTCTGCTAACTACCTATCCAATAACGGCCCGGGGACCTTTGGCCAAGATGACAACTCATGTTTACCATCTCTTCCCACATTACACTCTGGTCAAAGACATCATCAGGTCATTACAAAATCAGGGAACTCACAACAACTCAAAGAACAAATGTGACCAATCAATTTTCAGTAGTCCTAAGAGAATCCTCAATTCCCTGGCAACTGTTCTTATTCTGCCTCATTGTCAATGCGTTTGGTCTCTATTTTTCATCTTTGGAAGATAACACAAGAACAACACCACAAGGATAGAAAACAACCTGCTGGTTTTCTTACAAAAAGGCAAAGTTAACAATGTCTGTCCTTGTTAAAAATGTAAAATCTGAATCATATAAGACAAACTCAGAATACAGAAGGAAAGACAAAGATAATAAATCTGTAAGATGAATCAAAATGAGAGAAATAATCTGGATGCTCTATCTTAAATCTGAAAAATAAATCAGAAACTGCAAATAAGGAACTTTTTGACTCATAAAAGAGGGGTTAAGACAGAAAGAAAACTGATGGAAATGCCTTAAGCCAGTGTAAGTAAACCCAGTTGGAGAAGTACAGAGATGGCATGGTGTATAAGCTTTTGGTGCCAGGTTTCAACCCCAGCCCTGCCTTTACAAACTTTGTATCTTTGAGCAAGTTGTATAAACCTAACTGAGCCAGCTGTTTTCTCAGTAAAATGGAGATAGTACCCACACCTCGTAGAGCTATCCTAAGGTTAAATGTCTTCATGTTTATAAAATACAGAACATAAGGCTATATAAACAGTGACTATTCATTAATGACAGACACAATACCACCTTATACTTTTGTAGCAGTTGCATGTTTCTATGAAATTTTTTAATACATCCTCACAGATACCACTGTCAGATAAGTGAAGTGAAACACACCCATGTTACTGGTGAGGACACTCAGAGAAAAGTCTCCATTCAAGGATTCACAGCTCTCATCCTGGAATTAAAACAGCCCACCACTCACCACCTGGGTTATCTCTGTGTCGTTCTCCTCTATAAAGTAGAAACAGTCTTGGTCAAGTGCCCAGTGTGTTGTAACCACTCAGTCAACAGAAGTTATTACCGTGTCCAAAAGAAATCTTTATCAAATGCCTACAATATGTATAACGCTGTGAGTAAAGCCTTGGTCACCTGAGTTTACAACAGCCACCAACTTCCTCTTCCACACACTCAGCTCTAGCCTCCCTTCACCTAACAAACTAGTCTCCCCATTTTCTTTCTTCTGTGAACATCTGGTAAATCTAGTCTGTGTCATTTATACTTTTTAATATAATATATGATCTTGGTCTCTTATTTTTTTTCAATGTGACTTCAATTTTTCTAATGTAATACAAATGAATTGTAGTTCAGGAAGAATTACAGTGAAAAATTACAAACGTTCCATCTATTGTTTGTAATCCTTTCCATTCTTGACGCTCACTAACCAGTGTCTTACTGATAATTGGAGCAAAGTACTTTCTAGGCCTAATTATGTGTGAAAAGTTTGTCTCCCAGACAATATAATACTTCTATATGTAGCAATAACATAAATTCCTTTATGTGCCTCACGCGGTAATAAGCAAATATTGGCTATCAAAAACACTTCATGAGGACAATATAGCACTAGAATATTCCAAAGTACCTCTGAAACCAAATGAAGATAAAATATAGGCAGCCCTCCAAATCCATGTGTGTCCCACCCACAGATTCAACCAACCATAGACCAAAAATACTAAGCAAATAAACCAAAAAAATAAAATAAAAAATAAAAACCAATGCAACTATTTACACAGTATTTACGTTACATTTCGTATTGTATGTAATCTACAGATGATTCAACACATACAGGAGAATGTGTGTAGTTTATATGCAAATACTACACCTTTTTATATAAGGGACTTGAACATCCATGAATTTTGGTATCCAATGGGGGTCCTGGAACCAATCCTTCACAGATACCAAGGGACAACTATATATGTAACTATAACATTATAAGGAACATAAAAATGCTCACTCAGCTTTTACATGCTTAGTACTGGACTCAGTGTGGCATTTGGCAATTGAGCATCAACTTAAGCAGTATTTACCTGCTGCTGTAATATAGGCTTGTTGTAACTTCACTACTTTAAAAATCTAAATATTAAAAAAAAAAAAAAATTGTGACAACTATTTTACACCCAAACAGGGTGTGTGAGAAAGGAGCAGGAAGATGCTTTTATATCAACGAACCAGAAGATAACCTAGATACAAACACTGTGAATTATCTATATGAAGGCATGTATAAGAACCCTAACACTAAATGAAAAGTGACCAGAAGTTCAGAAGCAACATCAATATTTTTCACCTCGCAACCTCACCCCTACCTAAAACTCAAGTAACTGCTGTACTTCTCATTAGTAAAGTACCACATGGAAAACAAGGCTGAGATAGGTATTCATTTCTGGGACCAGAAAACTTCATTAAAACCAGTAAAGACATCAAGATAATGTAACTACTGATTATTAAATGAAGCTAATCTGAAGTACAATCTCAGATATAAAATAAGACATAGAAACAATGAGTAAAGAAGGAGCAAACAGCGAACACAGGTGGGGGTTGCTACATAACAGATACTAATACTGAATAATTCTGGCTATGGCATATGTATAGCTAAACTTTTAAGTTAATTATGTTCATAATCACCCAAACCATTGGAAGGGGAGAAAAAAGAAAATTAGAAAACTTCATCTATTCAACAGACATGGAAAATGGAATTTAAAAAAATTTCAAAGTTCTCGTTAACACAAGCTAGGATGCTAAATAGAAGTACCAAAATATCTGTATTACAATAATGTGAATGCTGTAAATTCACTTGTTAAAAGTTAAAGCCTCTTAAAGAAAGGAAAAACAAACTTAAAGAATATACCTTGTAAAATGCAATCCTAAAAATGCAGCAAAATTGAAACAAACAAACAAACAAAAAAAAACAGTAGAGAGGAAGATATACAAACAAGAAATGCTAAGAAAATTGAAAACAATATTGATATCAGATAAAATAAAATTCGAAGAGAAAAGCATTATAAAGGATAAGAGAAACTGCATATTCATAAAAGAAACAACTAAACAGACACGAGCAATTAAGCACTTTCATATGTCAAGCCTCATAATATCAAAACATGTAAAATAAATGGAGACAGAGAAAACCAGAAAAAAGCAAAACCACGTACCTTGAAAACAGATAATGTCTTTTTGACAAGTACCCATGAAACAATCATAAGAAGTTAATAAGCATGCATGCACATACGTGCATGCGCACACACACGCACATATATGCCATTCAGCAGTAAAGAAAACATAAACAAAATTGCAAAGGCTGGAAATAATACAGTGTATATTTCTGGATTACAATGCAATGTCACTAAAATGACAAAACTAGCAAATAAAAATCTGCCTTACATAAATTTCAGTTGCGTAACACAAACTTTGCAGCTAAAAACAAACAAAAAAAGAATAAAGTAAATTTCAAGATGAAGAATACATAAACACCAAAACTACAGGGTTACCAATAAAACAACAGTGAAAACACTGCATACAATACAGTTTAAGATCCAGCTAAAGAAGGTGCTCAAAAAATAATTCATAGCCTTATTTCCAATAAACAAGAACATAACGCATCCAGCTCATGAAGGGGGAAAAAACCCACACATGCTAAAGCAAAGGAAATAGAAAGATGAAATTAGTAAATATAAAAGAGAGATCAATGACTTTAAAAGTAAATCAATAAATCCAAGGCATGCTTCTATGAAAAAAGTCAACATTTTTAAAAATGAAAATGTGAAAAAAAAATTTCTGAAATTAATATATTTCTTTATGTTCAAGTCTATAAATAGTTTGAAAAGCTGGAGCAGGGAGTAATTTAACACTGACCATAGAAAAGGCAGGAAATCTAAATAAATTAACTAGTTTACATAGAAGAAATAAGAGAAATTTATGAAAGTGTCCATCAGGCTCAGATAGTTTCCCTGATTTAATACTACCATACTTTTTTCTTTTTCACTAGTGTATACCTGTTTTTGGAGACACCCAGGCTGGGGAACAGTGGTGCAATCTTGGCTCACTGCAACCTCCACCTCCCCAGTTCAAGTGATTCTTTTGCCTCAGCCTGAGGAGTAGCTGGGATTACAGGTGTGCACCAGGGTGCAGTGGCATGATCTCAGCTCACTGCAACCTTCGCCTCCCGGGTTGAAGCGATTCTCCTGCCTTAGCCTCCCAAGTAGCTGGGATTACAGGCATGTGCCACCACCCCCAGCTAATTTTTTGTATTTAGTAAAGATGGGGTTGAACCATGTTAGTCAGGCTGGTCTCAAACTCCTGACCTCAGGCGATCCACCCACCTCAGCCTCCCAAAGTGCTGGGACTTCAGGTATGCGCCACCGCACCCTGAAAAAAAATACCTTTGTTGTTTTTCAGATGGAGTATTGCTCTTATTGCCCAGGCTAGAGTGCAGTGGCATCATCTTGGCTTACTGCAACCTCCACCTCCCAGTTTCAAGTGATTCTCCTGCCTCAGCCTCCCTAATAGCTGGGATTACAGATGCCCGTCTCCATGCCTGGTTAATTTTTGTACTTTCAGTAGAGACGAGGTTTTGCCATGTTGGCCAGCCTGGTCTCAATCTCCTGACCTTGTGATCCATCTGCCTTGGTCTCCCAAAGTGCAGGGAATACAGACGTGAGCCTGCACCCAGCCAATAGTGTGCTTTTAAGAAACATGTATCTTGGGCTAGGTACCTGTAATTGCAGCACTTTGGGA